ATCCCCTGTTTTTTTTTTTATATATAAGTTAACAATGTTTTTTACCTATTCAATATGGCACGCCAAATTCACAAAAATGAGCAAAACATAGTTTCACAGTCGATAAACTAGGTTTATCGCTTGTAAACTATAGTTTACGGACTGTAAACTATAGTTAACAACGTTAATCTACATTTTACATCTGTAAACCATAGTTAACGCGATAATCTATGTTTCACAACTGTAAACTATGCTTAACACCAAAAACAATCATTTGCGATTGCAAAACATAGATTATCTAATAAATACAGTTTCACGATTTGTAAACTATAGTTTACAAACCATTAACTGTGGCACGCCAAATTCACAAAAATGAGATAAACCTAGTTTCACATTTGATAAACTAGGTTTATCGACTGTTAATTATAGTTTACAAACCGTAAACTATAGTTACCGATTCGTTAAGTATAGTTTTCATCTGTAAAGCTATATTTAACGGTTGTTAACCATAGTTTACGAATGATATTCTAAGTTTATCTGTCTGTAATAAGCGTTAACAATAGATTTTGTTGATAAACATATATTCACGTTTGTAAACTATAGTTTACAATCGTAAACTATAGTTAAGAGTTGTTAATCATAGTTTCACAAATTGTGAAACTATATCTATCAGATCGTTAACTATACTTAACAGTTTGTAAACTATAGTTTACAAATTGTGAAACTGTATTTATCAGATAATCTATGTTTTGCAATCGCAAATGATTGTTTTCAGTGTTAAGTATAGTTTACGGTTGTGAAACATAGATTATCGCGTTAACTATGGTTACGGATGTAAAATATAGATTAACGTTGTTAACTATAGTTTACAGTCCGTAAACTATAGTTTACAACCGATAAACCTAGTTTATCGACTGTGAAAATATGTTTAGCTCATTTTTGTGAATTTGGCGTGCCATGATTAACTATAGTTAACGATCTGATTTATATAATTTCACGATTTGTGAAACTATGATTAAAAACTCTTAAATATAGTTAACGATCGTAAATTATAGCTTACAGACGTGAATTTATGTTTATCAACAAAATCTATTGTTAACGTTTAATTACAGACAGATAAACTTAGATTATCATTCGTAAACTATAGTTAACAACCGTTAAATATAGTTTTACAGATGAAAACTATAATTAACGAATCGTTAACTTTAGTTTACGGTTTGTAAACTATAGTTTACAGTCGATAAACCTAGTTTATCAATTGAAACTAGGTTTATCTCATTTTTGTGAATTTGGCGTGCCATAATTCAAAGGCTAATTATTATATCTACTAGATCTCTGCATTTCATTTCCTGAATTTTGCATTGCATTTTCCGACAATTTTTGTTATTATTTCGGAATCCGACAATTTTATTTTCATTTCCGACGTTATTAATTTTTTCTTCCCATTTTCTGATTTTTAGGATACCTTTACGGCAATTTAAGGTTAACATATTTAACAAAGATGGAAATAGAATTTTAACAGGGTATTATATATGATTATGCATTACATAATATCATTTATTTCAAATCACATTTTTTCGAACCTAATCATTACATACATGTATACTCTGTAAACAATATTAAGACTAGTTATAAGTAAAGGAAGGAGTTAAGTGAAAGATCATTTCACAATACCTACATCTGCCCCAGGGTAAAATCTATTAAGTTTCTTTGACAGCTAAACAAAGCCTTTATTTGAATATATAAACTATTTTACTTTAAGGATTTTTATAACGTACGTATGAATTCTTTTTCATTGCCGAAAAAGTACTGACATGAATTTGACAAAAGTCAGAGATGAAAAAATTTTAAAATATTAAAACTTACAAATGTCGGAAATGAAAAGTTCAATATTCAATAAAAGTTACGCCCTGTTTATTTCTCTAGTTTTCAAAAATTTCCCTTTATGACATAAAAATATCTGAAATACAGAGGGCGGACCTTATATTATACTGCGTTTTAAGATCCGCTCTCTCCTTTTCTCTAGTTTTCAAGCTACGAAAATAAACCCTGTCCAAAAATTTCCCTATATGACATGAGGATATCTGAAATACAGAGGGTGGACCTTATATTATACTCCGTTTTAAGGTCCGTCCTGTCTCTTTGTCTAGTTTTTTAAGCTACGAAAATAAACGCTGTCCAAAAATTTCCATATATAACATAAAGATGTCAGAAATACAGAGGGCGGACCTTTTCTGATAACTGCGTTTTAAGGTCCGCCCTGTCTATTTCTCTTGTTTTCAAGCTACGAAAATAAACCCTGTCCAAAATTTTTCCTTTATGATATAAAGACTTTAAAGTCATATAAGCGGGGTTTTTTTAATGAGTTTAGACTACAAATATGAAAAAGATCTTTCTAATTGTTTTTGTACTTAACGACTGTAAAGATAGGACCGCTGCATCTCATTTCCGGAAATCGGCATGGCATTTCCACCACTTCTTTATTTCATTTCCCACAACTTGTCTCTTCTTTTCCCGACATTTATTTCTTTTCATTTCCGGATTTTTTGCAAGGTACCTCTCCGGCAATTTAATGTTTACCAGGAACATGTATGTAGAAATGGAATTTCGAAAGAATTTATTATACACAACATTTTTAATATAAAAGTTTTGTGTACATGTACATGTATATACATCTGTTCATAAATCACGAAGTCTAGTTAACAGAGTTTAATGAGCATCAATCTTTTCAAGTGGCTGTGTCTCCGTATGAGTGAATAATTCTTACGAGGGACGGATGTTAAACAACATACAAACAAAAACCAATTTCCATATAGGAGAATTTCCGAATTTCACTTTTATTGAAGATGTAGTTTTCATTTTCAACGATATTGACATCAGAAGTAATAACATGTTGAAAAGGACTGTACATGTATTTGAAAGGAAAAAAAACATTTTTCTAAGACACGTGTCAGCTTACAGAGCCTGTGCTGTGCAAAATCAATAAGCATTGACATAAGCTTGTTTTCTGTAGTAAAAGAGTCTTAGCAAAGAAACCTACCTGATGATCATATCAATTAACAAATATTTCAAATAATGTGGATTTGGAGTAATTATTATAAGCTGTAAAAGATTTATCTTATGCAAGTACATGTAATTATATGTATCATACATGAGATCATTTGCACAAGATACGGTACGGTATAGATACACCTACGCTAAGTTGCTACTCTGAGAGATACATTCGAGCCATACATTTTGTTGGGTCAAAATTTTTGAATACTTCAACGTTTTGCTGATTTGAATCTAGTATAAAAATAATATTATGTTTCGTGTTCTAGGGTTAAGAAACTTTGTTTTTACATGAAAGTATGCTTTAAAAAAATTTTGTTTGTATATTTATAGACACATTATTCAATACGATAACCATATTTGTTTAGATAAAAGGTCATCATTTGCTTCCTTGATACATGTATATATGTATATACGTATTAAAGGAAAAACCCCCACAATATATGGCCTCTAACTTAGAAAGGGAAGTTATTAAATAGATTAATATCCTTAAATCAATGAGTAAATATGACTCTTATTGTTATGCCCGTCTTCCAAATTGATAATTAAAAACATTATTTTTTTCCTTTTAGGAAATGGCAATGCATTATTCAATATCTAAATTATGAAGAGGTTTTATCAAGAGACAAGTGTAAATGAAGCATTCTGTTAAGAATCCCCAAAAAATTCACCCATTCATTCATATCCACGCACAACTGCAGAGAATGTGAAAGGTTTTTAATCACTTTTCTTTTAAATTCATAAATCCCACGAATATGTAGGGTTTTCACCAAAGGTTGAATTCTTTAGTTCAATAATTCTTCCATGAAATGTGTTTTTGTTAAAATTCCTTGTATCAAACGGAAGTGATAAAAAATATTTCCTTAAACTTAAAATGGCTTGTTTTTTAGTTGATAGAGCAGCCATGTTTATCATCTTTCTAATAAGTTGCTTATTGCCTTTTCTCTGCACTGCAACAAATGAAGGCTACTGTGATGAGGGGTAGGTTTTTATTTTGGAGGAAAAAGTATTGTTAATGCACATCAATATGTTTTTACGTACTTTTTCTGGCAACATTACTGATATAATCTGTTACTTTCAGGAAAACCAAATACTTTTTTGCCCCCGTAATCGAGTATTTGGGTATATATAGTTTTTGTCGTGTCTGTCTGTAAATCTGTCTGTTTGTCTGTTTGTCGACAAAAACTTTAACCTTGCCTATAACTTTAAGTGAAGCTACGTCTTTCATATTTCACATGTGTTTTCCTTGTGACAAGATTTTTCTTTAGGAACCACTAAATATGACCGTTTGACCTTGGAGTTTGACCCATTTTTACACAAAAATTCCAAATTATAACTTTTCATAGGTAAATGCTTAGACATTCATACTTCGTATATTCACTAGTATTCTTTATGGTAAGACCTTGTATTGGATACCTTTTGACTTGGACGTTGGATATTTCCGTACTTATGAAAAAACATTAATCTTGGTTGAAACTTTTGAGCGGTAATGTCTATGGCTTTTATACTTCGCATATGCAATCCTTGTGAAAAAACTCTTCATTGGTACTCAATCTAAAATAGTCCATGCACATGTATCACTGAGATAAAATCCCATATTCCTTGACGTTGCTTGAATATAGGTTATTATCTCAGATGTTTTCATATAAAATATCTCTTAATTAGTTGATAGTATATATTTGAAGTTTGGCCTATAAGATTCACTCGCTAAGTTCTTTCAAATCTGTTTTTCAGTGATGGCAGTAAGGTAAAATGCTGTGTGAACTATAGAGCGGTAAACGATACATGTGTTCGTAAGTACATGCAGACTCTCTCTCTCTGACTCTCTCTCTCTCTCTCTCTCTCTCTCTCTCTCTCTCTCTCCATTACAAGTAAATGAGAGCAATATTTTTTATTACTTCATCAGATGGAAGTAAAAACAATTCACCGTTTTTCTAAAAGTTGGGAGAAAAAAAAAATCTTTCTTTTAGGATGTCCTAATGGTTGGATCGATCCAAATTGTTCAACAAAGTGCCCTAAAGGCTGGTACGGAGAGTTGTGCAGGGAAAAATGTCCTACATATTGTGAGGAATTGTGTAATCATGTAAATGGATGCAGATTTGGTAATTCAATTGAAATGGAATAACGAAAAAAAAATAACAAAAGGAAAAAGTATAAAATGTTGAATTATATAATACGTTATCAACATTTCTTAAAAGTAAAGTTATTTTTTTTTCCTCGCCATTTTACTATTCTATATCCAGAGTTGTCTGTATTTGTGGGAGCCACCAATTTTGGATGGAGTATGAACATTTTACCTTTATAATTGTCGCAATGTTTTCATGGAAATTAATTTAGAAAAGAAGTGTGAACCACACTCTCTACCATAGGTTAAAGTTAATAAAAGACAAGATGGATAAAAAACCTCTTTTGCCCTCTGATTTAGGGTGTCTTTTAGACTGATTCAACACTTTATATATGAAAACTTGTAATCGTCCTTGCCACAAAACGAGAATTTGTTTAAATTTATGGGATACACAGAGGTAACTGAGAGGTCATGTCAATATTCAAATGTATAGCAATGCATTGAAATGGTCACTTTGTTTCATGTCTTAGGAGAGGCATAGATAGACCAATCAAAATCTAACACAATAAAAATTCCGGCCATGCAATGCGTCACTCTGCCTCTTCTCCCAACAACAGTCTTTGAGGACGGATATTTTTTTTCAAAGTATGTTATTTACTGTAGATCACTTAATTTTCGCGACACCTTATTTTCGCGAGATAGTCATTACCTCTTTATAAGCAAGACATCATTTTCATGATATCTTAGAATTTCTCTATAAAATCTTAATAAATATTATTATACGCGAGAATAAAATTTTGGCGTGCTCGCTTTCTCACGCGAAAATAAAGTTCTTGAAATAAAAAGTGATTTACAGTACCTCCTTCCACCCTGCCTACACATTTTTTAAAAACTTATATTTTAACGTTTTAAGACCCATTTTCATGATTTTTCTGTTAAGTCTAAGTTGCAATTACTTGAAATTTCGATTATCTTCCTTTACAGAATTGGATTATTTATCATCTTTATATTTTGTTTCTGCTAAAATTTCATATGTTTTTGTGAAGGATATGGAGATAACAAAAAAGTATTCAAAATCAAAGTCCATAAAAAATACAAAAAAGGAGTAGAGCAAACACGGACCTCTTAAACATGAGAGGTGGGATCAGATACCATGGAGTGAGCATCCCCTGACGACCCGTCCCACCGCCGTGTGCTCCTTGTCATGATCGGGAAATAACAGAAAAATCCGTCTTCAATTTAGTGTATAAATGATGGACTAACAATAAGTATGAAAAAAGTCAGTCGGCATTTGACTCATTGATAAATTGTATTTGCTGATAAGGTCAAAGAACGTACGAAATGATGACTTTAAACGAGGCTGTTGATATTCCCATATATCGCTACAGAGTGCCAGATCCTTGTGTACAAGTAGCTATGAAAATGAATGGATCAAAGGATCTGATTTTAATTAGATTATTATATGCAGCCTCGGTTGACAATGGTTTTCTTGGGGTGAAAATTTTCAATGTTACACTCAACTACATGCAATATTTATATAATATTTCTATTTTCTTAGGTCAACAATCAAGTACTGCGATATTTTTTTCAACGTCCACAATTGAACATCGTAGGAAATATATATATATATATATATATATATATATATATATATATATATATATATATATATATATATATATATATATATATATATATATATATATATATATATATATATATATATATATATATATATATATATTCATTTTGTAGAAAGCTACATGTAAACGATCTGCATAATGTTTGATTCGAGTCTTAAAAGCTTGATGAATTTCTATAGAAAGTAATTCATTTCTTATAGTGTATGTAAAAAATATTTCCTTTGTAGACGACCCAAAATTTAATACCAGCAGTGTCCCTTCATTTCTTCTCTCGACAAAACTTTGGATTATTGCGGGATCTGTCGGTGGAACTATCGTCATCATCTGTATTTTCATTGGAGCTTGTAAAACACGGTATAGATATCTGAATGTACATAATTCTCTTTTTATTGGCTAGTCAAGCCATGAATTATATTTCACATTTATTTATTTGTATCAGCATATTTATAAAGTCGTGAAAGATATAAGATACAGCTCATATCCCATGTCTTTGGTTTCATCTATGATTTTAAATTATTATGTTAACTGAAGAATGTGAAGCACAGCATGCATTTTAATCATTTGCAATACTGAAAAATATGATAATTACTTTCTAGCTACATTCTTTTTGATATTTAGTCTGAAAATGAAAGAGAAGAGCTCTTGGAGACCAACGGTGACAACATATAATGGTGACGTTATAGTTATATAACTATACTAATACATACATCTTATGGTCTCTGAAAAGTAAAATTAAAATTTGTTCTTCTTATAAAAAAAATTACCAAAAGAGCAGAATATGTAAATTTGAGTTTATTTTTACCAGGTACATGTGCTTGAATATTTTCTTTAAGTGTGATTCCAAATCGATTTCTTCAAATAACATACTAAACTCTTTTAAGATGACGCGCTGAAGCTTCCATCCTTTTTACCCTATTTCTTTTACAAACAATTGTTGATTTATCATAAAGAATATTAAAATTAAAGGATTTTTAAATCCATGTATATTTATTTTTAGATGAAAATAATTTAAATAGCTACACACAATCTTCATCAACATGTTGTGAACCACACAAGTCAAAATCTAGTTTACGCCTTCCGTGTAAAGACTGTGCAATGAATCCAAAAGGAAGAGTTTTAGTGAGTGAACTTCCAAGCACCTGTTCAACCATATCAGAGGAAGAATCACCTGCTTATATGTATTCCTGTATTAAAAAGGAAGAAGAAATGGATAGTATTAATGAATCCAGTCATCGTCCATTATTAAGACAGTTTTCTTCCTTTAAAAGCAAACCAAAAGAAAAAAAATCAACAGATATTCCGTTCGACATCGATGAAAAATACACGATGGTGAAAGCTGGATCTGCAACTGACACTTCTGCATTGATGAGCCCGGGACGTTTTACATTGACTGAAAATGAAAGTCAGGGATATTTTGTTCTTGAACCCAGAAGTTCACAAGATGTCGACATGTGTCGCGAATCAATTAATCTTGACAATTTACCACCTCCTCGTTTTAGCGTTTTAGGAACTGGGATGCTGTAGTGTAACCCATTATTCTCTAAAAAATTAATTCAAGAGTGTACATGTCGAAAACATAACTTGATGTGCTTCATGTATAACTTACCTAGTAATTGTTACTTTTCTATATACTTAGTTTTAATAATCTTGAAGGAATTATTCATAAAAGTCCCAAATGGGGAATATTAGTTTTGCAAGAAACTTATTTTTATGTACAGTATATCTCTATTTTAATACATTTATTCTCAGGGTTTTTTCTCAATGCGAAAATGTTGTCTATAAGAATTTTCAACCATGTTTTAGACTGTATTCTTAGTTAGAATATTTTTATATATATTTCTCATATATGCACACGATCCCTCCATTAGCATCTATATATGTACATAAGCCTGTAAGTAAGCATGCTTTCGAAAAAGCAAGTTGTCCTAAGTCTGGTTTCATGAACGGGTTCTTTGAGTTTATAGAATGTAAAAGTTATGGAATGTAACTACAGTATTATGGTACCTGCATGTGATACTGAGTAATTTACACTAAATATAACCGCAAATGTTGCATACGTCCTTAAGGCAAAGTATAGTTAAAATGTTAAATCGTAGGCAATGAAGCTTATTTTAAACTATGCTATACGATATTACATTACTTGGTACAGTTTACGCTTTATAAACCGCGAATTATAAAGAGCGTAAAATTTCATTAATTATATTACATCGTATAACATAGGTTAAAAAAAAAGTTTCATTCCCTATAATTTCACTTCAGTGTGGACAATAAGACAATTTTTCCTTAAAAAATTGCCTTTAAATTGAGCATATTTTAAAATTCACGTCAAGCGGATTAATACGTTTTTGACGTAACTCATTATGACGTAGGTGACTTATGTTATACAATTCAAATTGAATCTTTTATCAAATGTCGTGTTACAGCTTAAATTGAATTATTTGTTAATGAATAAAAAGATAGTAGCTTGAGTGCGATATGACATGTATTCAAATTAAAGTCCTTCAGAAAATGTACATAAAAATTAGACGTAAGTAGCGTGCATTAAAATTATAGGACAGTAAAGTAAATTCAAAACAAAAGAAATATTCTTCAACTTATGTTTGTTTAATAAATAAATTATAGTCTTCCTTCTTGGAGGCATAAAACATCACAAGGAAATTATCATTTTGACTATTTTTCTCATAACGGACGTTCATGATTGTTCTAAATTGTTCTGTTGCATTTCAGAAGGAAATAAAAGACTCTCATATTATGTATAATAGGGTATTTTTTGTGGAGTGATTATTTCGGGATTTTTACGATTTTTTTTTATTGTTCACATGATAAACAATTGTAATAAATATCATTCGTGAAAAAATGTCCAGTAAGCCCAGGGGTTGATTATCGGGAGGTGGGTGTTAGGGTCCTGTTCACAAGTACTTGTGTTTTCTTCACGATTTACAAGGTTCAGAATTGTGGAGAACAATTAACATTTACAATCATGCATACATGTGTGCATGCAAAATATCGGTGAAAGATATTTACGTCTTCAAAAGTCATTGTCTTTACCTTTATCAGTATGTCATAATAAGGGTATATTAATTACTAATGAATCATTTTTCTTGTTTGCACTTGTGCTTTATTTACATGCTTCAATTTTCATCCAATAGCACACAACCTTGCGTTGTGGATAGAATTCATATAGGCTATGTCTGTTTCCCAATCTGTTTTTGTATAATTGATAAAATATTTTCAGATCAAATGAACAACGCTGTATTGATATCATTCTCCAGTGATTTCCTTGGAAACCACGAAGTGTTTACAATCAACTAAGAATGTTTATACAAAGAAACGTTTTAAGTCTTTTCCCTTTAAAAAGCTTTCTTTGTTGACAATGCAGAAAATCTGTTAAGTTTTTTCTAAGAATCGTTTAAGTGTGACCTTGAACAAAAACATAAACACACCAGGAAGCTGTAAATTTTCCGTCGTTTTACCCTCTCCTAATTGCGGAAGACAAAACTATGTGAGATTGGGAACTGGGAAGAGAATTTGTGTGTCATAATTTGCTTGAAAAATTATTGTAGCAAATCATATACATGTACAGTTGAAAAATATACAGATCCACACTTTTTAAGCTCACATAATTTTTGGCACAGATGAACGACACATTGTTACGACGCGATTTTGTGCAAAAATGCAACAAAATATATTTGAAAAAAGTGATTTATAACTTGATTTTTTCATCTTAATCACTGAAAACATTATTTAAACAAATTAATTGGTAAGATTTTGATATGATCTTTGCTGATAGTTTATGATAGTTCCCAAGTGGTTTTTCATGTTTTAATTAAATTAAATCAATTAAATGCAGTCGTCTTTGTATCTGTTCTTTTGCAAGCAGTTCTTTGCCTTGTCTAGACACAAAGAAGTGAAGCTCATGTAACTTCTTTTTTTTAAACACATGAATTAACCTAACTCTAAAGCGCAAAATGATAACAGTAGTTCTCATATGTTTTACTTGTTAAAAAGCTGGTATTTTTCTATTCCTACTTTCTTAAATTTAGCACAATGAAAGATACGCCCCATCACAAAATTTGAAAGTTGTAGACCCTTAATGTAAAATTTTTTTATTCAGTAGTAAAAATTTACTATTTTAAGGGATAAACGATAATTTACATCCTATCTTTTGGCATAATTTCTTTAGGCAGCATTGTCATTTTTCGGAGCCACATTTCGACAAAGCCAAGATGTGTATAGCAAATATGCAAAGATCTTTAAGAAATAGTTATCTTTAAGAAGTCATTTATAAAATTTCACCTAAATAATATCAAAAAAGGTCGATGAAATTAATTTGTGAATACGAATGTTAAATTCCTACAAATGTAAAATCATACGATTTATTAATGAAGTCCCCTTCAAAACCTCGACTTTGAAAACTTGAGATACTGAATTTAAGGAACATGTTCCTTTGCCGTAAGATATGTTATAAATACGGAATAGGATAATGTCTCGAACTAAAATTCGAAAATGTTAAGTATTTTTTTGCAAGATGGATGTGAATTTAATTCGTCCGAAAAACCTTTTAAAAATGCGCGGAGCTGTATTATTCGTAAAGTATTTAGGTAATAAGACTGGAAAATATGGTAATAGCATACTATGCTGTTCTTATATTTGTGTATCATATGCTTAATGACATTTCAATTTAAAAATATGTTCATCGTCATGAATGAAGAGGAGCAAGTAATGTAAATGTGAAACATTGGAAGGGTTATTATCTGTATACTGTATACAGGGTTATTTCCGCCCCATTTTATTTTCGCCCTTTCACACTTTGAAACAACTTTGCCCCGTTTTAAATTCGCCCACCTGTAAGTAGGGAGAAAGGGGCGAAAATAAACCGGCTGGAAATTTACATGTATTTCATACATTTTAATTTACAAATAATTTCAAAATAATCCCCATTTCGCTATAAATACAACATTTGATAAAATTCGAATGGGTTTTATATTGAGTATATAAGATACATAATTTTGCATGCAAGAGGCCTTGTCCTCTCTGGGATTATTCAGGGATAAATTGAAGGAACGCAATGTTCCCTCAACGATATAACAAACTTTAATAGCTAGTGTTCTACAGATTTAATATGTATGCGTGTGATAATTCTGCTTTTTTGAAGCCTCATACTATGGAAATACAGAAATGCTATAAAATTGCCCGAAAGAGTTTGAGTGTTAAACAAAATACAGGAACGATACAAGGTTCTTGTCAAACAGGAGTTTGTCAGGGATGTCTTTTGTCACCTTTTCTGTTTCTTCATCCAATGGACTGGATTATGAAATCATCCACAGACAATAGAAAAAATGGATTACACTAGACACCATGGTCCCAGGTAGACGATCTAAACTTTGCAGATTACTGGCACTTCTTTCACATACCCAGGCACAAATGCAGAAGAAAATTAAAACAGTGGCAGAAACATCAGCACAGATAGGAATCAACATCAATATCGCAAAAAAAGATCCTAGAGCAAACACACCATCACAGGCTTCATTAAATATAGAAGGACAGAAAAAAGAGGAGGTAGAATTATTTATTTACCTTGGCAGTACAGAAGACCAACAATAAAAAAAACGGAAACTGAAATAAAAGCAAGAATAGAAAAGGTCAAAGTAGCTTTCCTGCAACTTGGAAACATATGGGAGACCAAGGGAATTTCAACGTGCACCAAAGTTGGGCTTTTTAACACCAATGTTAAAGCTTTGCTTTTCTATGGTTCCGAGACATGGAGGATGACCGTTGCAACAACAGTCGGGATCCAGAAATTCTTCAACTCTTGTCTGAGACGTTTCGTCCAGACCAGATGGCCCGACAATTAAGCAACATCAAATTGTGGCAAAGAACAAACCAAGCACCTACAGAAGCAGAAATAATGCTGGGAAGATGGAGGTGGATAGGACTTACTCTACGCAAGCTCTCCACAATAACATCACAAACAATGCAAATCCTATCCTGGAACCAACAAAGAAAACGAAGGTGAGGTACACCAAAGAACCCCCTAACGGAGAGATTTGGAGGCAGACGTCAAAGGAATGGATAAAAACAGGAAGGAGGTAGGAATCACTGATCAGGATAGAGAGGCCTGGAGAGTTAAATTGATAATGTAGTTACCCATGGTCACTTATGTTATATAAACATCGCCATTTACTTTTAGCCATTTACTGTATACGTTAATTTGTTTTTCTTGAGAATCTAATGAAGAGTTTAAGAATTCCCCGTTCCTTTTTTTTTACCTTTAAGAATTCTTGAGGGAACTTTTCTAATTTCTGTAGATTTTCAAATGATTAAGCCAACAAATAATCTTTCTGTCTGGTGAGTTTTTGTTCAATCAAAGTTACCGTTTTTCTCATCTATTTAAAGCTTAATCAATATTTGATCAATTTGGAGGAGTGTTTTGTATGGCTTTGATATGCTGATGCTTTTAAATAAAATAAGAAATATATAAAGAAAATTTTAATAAGCAACAATTTTTAGAGGAAAGTAGATAATTAAATGACTTTCAATTTTCTAAATAATGTTGGTATTCTTTAAGAATTAGTAATCCTTTGCATTTTTTGCGTACACAACTGTTTCAGAACAAGTATTGAATCCGTGCAGTAGATAAGTCGCATTTTCTGAGGCATAAACTAATCTATTCCAATATATTTTTTTGTTTGACTGTTACGTTAGTAATGTTTCTTGAAGTCTAATTGAAAGCTCACCTTGTTGTTAATTTTCATAAATTAAAAGCTGTGATGTAACTAGGTTAGCCATATGGTTGACATACGAGGGTTGTCCCATAAAATCGTGGACAAAGCGTTTTTCTCGAAAAGTAATTGGCGCACTAAGCTGAAATTTTCAGTAAATGTTTATTCATCATATTTAAATGAATCATAATGTTTTTGATAATATATATTCAAAAATAAAAATCTTATTCTGCTTGAATGTGCACAAGGTACGGTCCTACGGCGCACGGTAAAAATAGCAAGGTTATATTAGAGAAGACATAAGAATTAATTCGTAATAAAAGTTTTCAATACATAAGATTAGGATGAAAATTATCCTAATTCCATTCCTTAATCAATTCTGTCGTCTTTTTAAAAATTTCAAGGCATTTGGTTAATTTTTGGCAGTTTCCCGAGCATTTGAAATGGGAAAGTAATAAACACAATACACGAAAAATGGCGACTTTTTATGACGTTACGGCGCACCGGAGAGCAGTTCAGATAGATTAGGATGTTGTAATGACGCCTTAAGAGACTTTAAATGAATACAGAAGAAAGAAAATATGAAAAATATCACCAGATCTTTAGTATATAAATGAAATGAAAGTTTTCTTAGTGAAGTCTTCGTGGTCGAGTCCCCAGATAGTACAAAACATATGGACAGACTGAGATTCTCTTTTAGTTGAATGATGGTGAGAATACTGTCTGTAACTTGCTAATAAATATTCAGAAGATCGCATGAGTGTGCCTTATTGGTTTCTTAACTGGTTATAGATACTCACATATGTAAATCAATAAAATTTCTAAATTTAAGTGGGGCTTATCCAACTTTAAGTTTAGCAAAGATGAAACGTGACGCTGTTTTAGGCACTTTGACGTTATCATCCGTGCGCCGTAGGGCGATACAGTACATAACATAAAATATCACAATTTGTTTACCTATGCATATATCTATTTGAAATTTGCTATGTATATTCATAATTTATCTACTAAAAAGTGGTGAAAATTTCAGAACGCAGTGATGATTATTTTTCAAACTAGACAACTTGTCCACGATTTTACGGGACAGCCCTCGTATTTAATTTATTTAAACCTTATAAAGAGCTCAAATATTTAATTTTTTTTCAAACTTTATAAAATGACAAGACATATTAATGTGCAAACAAGTAACTAAATTTTTATGATTGACAATGCATTAAAACATTTTAATGCAGCTAATTAACCATTTCAAATGCACATTCATATATTTTATTTTTAACATTTCTCTCTATTTTTATCAAACAAAGAACTTTATTCGGTAATAACCAATGTTTGCCCCCCCCCCTCAATTAAACTTTGATGGAGATATACTTAATTAAGTTCTTAAACAGGGGAGTATATGCTGACTTCAAAGCACTGAATATTTTCATAGGTAATGACGCCATATGTACGTAATGACGTCACAAACATGACGTAAATTTCAGTTTTTATGAATTTTACAGAAAAATATACATATTTCGTCGATATTATGAGTAAAAGTCACCGAGTGCATGTGTGTTCAGGATCAATTTTTGATATAATGTGTAGAATGATAATATTACTGAAATATGTCAATATTGTTCCTGAACAAACTTGCGCTCTATAAATTTTAAAGCTTAAATTGTTGAAATTTTGTCCATTTTGTCCTCTTTCTGAAAAAGGATATAAAATCTGACTAGTTTGTGACGTCATAAAAATAAAATTTGTGAATACACTGCTTTGACACTATAATATTTTCTGTTAATTTATATTTCTCATACAATTTATTGAAATCAGCACAATTCAGGAAGTTTTCAAAATTTGACTTTTGTGGGGGGCAAATATATGCAATATACCGAATATAGTTCTTTAAAAGAATGAGATAAGTTAATTAAAGACATTTCTGCTGTAAAAAGCTGTGAAAAGATATCACAAGTATTATACAATAGATCACAATGTTTATAGCCTGATATGGTAAAGGAATTTTGCAAAATTACGTTCCGGAAAACTGTCCTTAAAATCAGCTGTCATCGTAAGTACTCGGTCCCTTAGTTAAACATAATGCAGAGCGATTATGAAGAGACAGAAGCACTTTGTTTTTCTAGCAGTTTTATTGTGTGACTTTATTTGTATGCCTTTCACAGATGGAGTATGCAATCGGTAAGGGTATGTTAGTTTGCTCTTTTGAAGTAGTTTTGTCGAGGGATCGAATAAAAAAAAACCACACAAACGGGTAAACTCGATAAACAGTGGTTTACATTAATTTTGCTTCTGTACAAGGATGTTATATATATAAAACATCGTATATATACTGAAGCTATATTTTGTATTTAAATCGTTTATTTAATTCAGTCATTTAATAGTAAACCGAGAGGGAAAACAAACATTGGCGCGATTAATTGTCTGGATATATATATTTTCTCCTTGTGCAATATTTAATAAGAATTATCACGGAAGAAAAATAAATTTGATCATGTAAACAACCTTTTCCTTATGATTAAAGTTAACACTTCTTCCTCTTTGAGTTAATTGGCAAGAATTTTCCTGGTAAGAGTTAAATGATAGAAGTAGAATAAATGATGCAGTCATTTTATTTAAATATAAATCTTGTCAAAAACGTATTTATATACGTAAAACAACCAACGACTACAGATCTAGTCTAAGTCACTTTCAGTAGTTTACGCGAATCAAAATAGTGAATGACCAAGAGTACTTATGATACAGTCATTATTTCCTCTTAACCATTGAGATCATATGTTTATGAGATATATGTATTTAGTTTTTTCTGTAATTAGGACTCAAGATGTAGATGTTTTAACTTCCATAGGTGTTAGTACACTGCATTTGTATATAATCGACATGATCGATGCGTAAATAAGATAAAGGAAAAAAATGGATGAATAATGAAATATGGAGATAAGGAACAGTATTCAAGATCAAAAGTCCATAAAACAATACAAAATATGAACACCGACCTCCAAAACATAAGAGGTGGGTAAACATTATCGATTTATATTGTTCAGAAGGACGTTTGATATTGTTCGTTATCTCTTTATGTTTCATTTCTCTAACTTCCTTAAGAAGTTTTAGAAAAGCAACTATATCTTTAATTTCAGATGTATGAAAGATATATACATGCTTTGTTTGAAAATTTCTAATTCATCTAGCTTCTAAACAGGAGTTTAAAAAAAATAATTTGTTTGAATTAAATTTATTTTTTTCATTAAAGAGACTTGAAAAGATCTACGTATAATTAAGAAATAAACAACGATTATTAAGTGAACATGGCGTTATGAATAGCAAATGCTCTGCTGGCATATTCCATGATGCGCGCTAGCGCATCATGGAAAATATGCCAGCAGAGCTATTGCTATTCATTTTGCCATGTTCACTTAATAATCGTTGTTTATTACTTATATTTGCATTCTTTGATTTTTTTTCAAGAATATCAGAGGAATTCCTGATTCACATAAGGACACAGCTTCTTGTCCTCAGTAAAGAAAAACATACGGCTTTAAAATCAGTAAACCTGATTAATGCTCCTTTTCTCTAATAAATCACAAACAATTTATAAAGTATTTCCCTCTCAAACACAGTTATCTGGATACAAGCAACGCCGTCATCACATTTTTGTTTTGATGTAGTTGTGACGTCATCGATCAACGTTATGAAAACACTCTGACAAAAATCAATAATTTAACACTATGATGAAAAATGAGAATTTTTTTTATCATGATTATTACACCAAAATGCTTTTTTATATATATATTTTTAGTTTTTCTATTTATTTTTAATAGCTGAAATCATTCTTGAAATAGAAATTTTCTCTTTCTGAATGTTATTTACCCAAGTGTGAAGAGTTATCGTTCTTTGTAAAAATATGCATGATACGAAAAAATAAAAATATGGCAGTTCTCTATGATTTTATAAAGATTTATTGTACAATTGAATACATTGACCAAAACTGAATTTTTAAAGATATAAATCAGCAATTTTAAATATTCTGAATTTCCTTTTTTTCAAAAAATATTATTAAAAACTTATTTTCATTCCTCTTACGAAACATTTCATATATATACTTCTCAACACCTTATACAAGTGTAGTCGAGATTGTTCTACACGAGAGTGATAGAGCAATTGCACACATAGTAGAGGTAAAATTGCGTCTATAGTCCAATAAACGCAATTGAAGACTACATGTTCTTGGTATGAGAGAGCAGTAGATATGCAAATATTCTTTTGTGTTCGCCATCAAAATTTATCAAATTTTATGAAAAGAAGCGATCAATCTTTTCTCTTAAAAACAAGTAGTATAAAATACCGTCAAAGGGCATTTGATAAAATGAACCAATGATCTTCAAATATTTCCAAGGTTCAAAGACAAGAAAATTACTCAGTCATTTGACTGAATAAATTTTAATTCATTTTAATTTTATTTTTTTTCTAGAGATCCGTTCAGATGTTGTGTAAACCACTATCAAGTCAACTTGACCTGTGTTCGTATGTATTAAAGTGTTTGCATATGTGTACATGTATTTTTTCCTCAGTGCAAATATTAAAAAACGCCATGAAATGTAACTTGAAATCAAACACTCCCTCCCGATTTTCTTTCCATTGCAAGGAAACAAAATCTTCATTGTAAGTATGACAATTTACATGTAAAAATAATTTGCTGCATCGACACTTTGTTCTTTAAAGCCGCTTCATCCGAAACAGGCACATATTATCTTAAACAATAAAAGTACGTCATTACATAGTTAATATTTAGCAATAATTTATAAGATTGATTTAATAGTTTATTACAACAATCCTTACATGGAAAACATGGACCAAAAACATTGTTGACAAACAGCAGTTCCTGACGGGAAGTTGAGATCTGTTTTAAAGTCACCTTTGAAAAAAAAATACTTTTATCGGTTATATCTAATTATGAAGAGAATTCAAACCCGAGTATTTTTTTTTTCATCCTAAGTCATGATATATCTTATAAAAATTAAGAAATTAATATAATCCATAGTAATTTTAATATTAATATTTACAGACTAAAGGAAAAAATCAGATATTTTTAAAGATTTTTAAAAAAAGTGAGTTTAGTAACGAGGGCTAGAATATTGCCCGTGTACACTTTGTTGTGGAAAAAAATCCCGGGTTTGTTCTTCATGAGTTATGCATGTAAGCGATAAATTAAATTTTTCGAAGGTGATTTCACGCAATGTAAACAAAGGATTATTTTTTGTATGACCTAACAAAAATTATTTTTTAAAATTTTGAATTTTGATATCTTTAAAAAGAAAAAGACTATGGGGATATAATTTGACAAAAGTTGAAATAATTTATGGACAATTATTTTTCAAGAAGAAAAACGAATATAATTTTTGGCGATTAGAATCGGACCAAGCGGCTTTAAAAAATCTTTATATGAAATTAGCATAAAAAATAGGTTATCTTTAAATAATTAAAGGATGTTATTATTCAAATATTTATGAGATCAATGAATTGATAATCTGCTGCCCACAACCGAAAAATCTAATCCCTGTCGATGAATGACTTCAATATATATCAAATTGATAAATTTGAGTTAAATCAGTTACTTCTTGTTATAATAACAAGCTAAAATTATCATAATACTCCTTCTTTTAAATGTCCCTTTACATGTTGCATGTATCTTATGCATCCTTTTAGAACGTATACATCTCCGTATCCAACAATTTTTTATTGCGTCTTCCAACTATATCAAGAGCCAATATTTTATATGGGTTGATAGATGCAAATACGTGGACATGTGAGACATTTCCTTCCTCAAAAATGTTTGCTTTAATGGTATTAATTTCCTCTTTACAGAATGCCCACTTGGAACTTATGGTATTAATTGTTCAGAAAATTGTCCAGAGAATTATTATGGCAAGAATTGTGCGAAGAAATGCAATTGTAGCGATAGTCACATTTGTGATATCGTAAATGGATGTACGCTAGTGAATACAGGTTCGTATATGTCTTCATTCTAGATTTTGTTCCCTTTAATTTAATAAAAATTATCTTAAATTTCGAGAGATTGAAGTTTAAGATCTGTAAGATTATGATGCATATACATGTACATGTACACGTTTTCCAAATCCTTTTCATTACTCTTCACAAAAACATGAGGATGTATAGAAAAAAAACTTCACCAATATTAAATATATTCGAAAAGTCATGTCAGACCAAGGTTGACTTAAAAAAAAATCAAAAGAACAAATATAATGTGAATAAACTCTGATTTTATATAATCAATTTCTACACTTTCTACAAAAATACTCGATACAATCTATTTTTACATCATGGACGAATGCATCGAATATTTTCTTGTGAGTGTTTTTTTTTAAAATAGTAGCGATCGGAAGCTGATTAGGAAGGGTATTTGAGTCAATTTTCTTTGAATACACGAAGTTTTAACGTAGAATAATTCCTTATACGTAGTAACTTGCATTTCGGTAATCCGTGATCAACACGCAGGATCAAGTTCTTTTTTTGATCATCTTTCTTAAACGCGGCAGGGTATTGACAACAAAGTCAATGTTATATAGGTGTCATCAATCTAGTTTAAAAGTCAATGTTTTGCAAATTCTATGAAACAGAACAAATACGTCTTTTACAAGGAAAATATATCGTTATTTCGAATGTCGGCTGACGTTTTAAGACCAATTTGGCTAGACATCTAATTTTAGACTACCCAGTCAAGAAAAAAGGCAATCGGTAGGTGTTAAAGTCAACATGTGAAGCTTACTCCTCAATGGTACTCGGCTCCACCTTCTGATTGTATCTGTAGGTATTTTTGCAATACTCCCAAATTTCATGTCCCGTTGGCCTTTGAGCATGATCAGGTACTGTTTGTGATCACAATCAATCAAATAGCTTAAAATTAATATGCATGTTTTTGTTGTCCCTAGAATTTTATAAAGAATTTTGCCATTTCTTCATATAATGCCTTTAATTCACCATTAAATGGAAAAAAGAATATGAATGTCAAAGAAAGAATTGTGCAATCAAAGCAGCTTTGTAGTTTTATTAAATGGACAGGGAAAGGTACATGTACTTATTTGATTTTTAAAACATATAATCTTTTTTGTTGTTTTAGTGTCAGATTATGGACTGGAAATGGATCCTGATGATGATGATGATGGTATACAACCAGGTGTGTTGGCCTCGGTGATGATTTCTTTAATTGTCTGTTTGACAAGCATAATCGCTGTTTCTGTTTTCCTTTATAAAAGGTAAAGAAATTAACAATACAAGGGTTGTTCAATAAATATTGCAATATATGGTATATCAGAATAGATGAAGAAGTCTTTAATTTTATTTTCCGCATTTCAAAAGTTATTTTTATGATTCAAAATCATAATCATAAATATATATATATATATATATATATATATATATATATATATATATATATATATATATATATATATATATCTTCGGCAAAAAAAAAAAAAAAAAAATTTAAGTAAACATGGTCAGTATTCTGAGTTTAAAACAATTCTCGTTTTATTATTTTCTCACACTGTCTACTTCTCTCTCTCTCTCTCTCTCACTGTCTCTGAAAAAAATATATATCTGACATTTTAGTACAAATAGATCTGTTATAGTAGCACTAAAATATATCATGTATTTAAACTTTCCAAAAAAGACGCTGATTACAATAAATAACACATGTAAGATTCCTACGAATGATTCCCTTCTCTGTTCTTATTTCTCTTAAAGCTTGTACAGTTAATTCCAAGAAAAAAAAATTTAAAATTTTCTCTAAATGAGGTCACAACGACTCGCTGGTAATGCATTTGTACTTTAGGCATTTAATCAGCGATTTTTTGTAGCCAGTCAGTAAGCACTGCAATACAAGACCATGATTTAAACGGTTCCAGTCAAAGGACCAGTCTCTACATTTTACAGTGGAATTCGAACTCTCGTTGTAGGTCCGGGCTCAGAGTACTAGTAACAGCTGTTAAAAAGTACTATAATACAAACTGGAGCTATCTGTGAAATAGGGCAATTGATCAATTAGTGTTTCTGAGTCGTAAATGCATCCTGCTTCATGTTTACCTTTTCTTGGTCGGTCATAAAATGCAGTGAATAGTGATTGAAGACATCGGGACCAAAAAAAAAATAATAATGCGGTAACTTTTTAGTTTTGAGATATACCGTATTGAAATATATTCCTTGAAATGACTTATGTGTTACCTTAAGAAATGTCTTGTCACAAGGAATACATTTATGAAATAGCAATATCCCAAAGCAATCAAAAGTTATGGATAATTTTTTCCGGACAAACAAAGAGATAAATAAAAGGTAAATGCATGTAAACAGACCAACACACATACGGACAGGACAACAATTCGATTACTGGGGACATAAATTTCTTAAAATCTCATAAACAAATACATGCATGAAAAGCATGAAAAAAGTAAAAATATATTTTATTTCCAATAAGATATCATATTAATTTCATGGACTTAACCATACGTAGACAAATTATTTTTACATTTCAGAAGAAATATCTTCAGGATAAATAATAAACACACAAGCAGACAACTGGCGAAGCCGTATGTCATTAAAGATCTAACTACTTTAAATGACAGCCCTAATGAAAAGGACGATGCAATGTATTCAGAAGTTATAAGAGATATAAATAAGAAACAACATCAAAGTCATCAGCACAACCAAGGAACTGTTTCTACCGGCAACATTTATAGTACCCATATCATTCTAGATTCTGCGTATGACAAACTTCAATTTCATCCAACAACAGAGACAATATTGAGAGAAAATGAACTTTATGGTGCAAACATTTGAAAAATTAATAAATTAAAAAAAATATATGTTTTGTCTTTGTAATTAAACAGAAAATTTGAATTTAGATGAAAGATGTAATGGAATAAGAAATTCCAACATAAGAGAAAATTTAAAAGATTACTAATGTTTACACGTAATTTTTTGAAAATATAGTTCCTCAATAGGCCTGATGCAGGCTTAAGAGGTACATGTAACTTGTTTAACCTGTATGAATAAATTTCTGTAAAGAATTAAAATTTCGTGATTTCCCCAAAGACACGTTTACAAATGTTTGACGTCATCATTTGACCTTGACTTTTTAGCATAAAATTTATATCTTAGACGTTTTTTTTTAAAAGAAGAGTCACACGTAATAATAGCCCCGCTACAAAGGACAACTGAGCTTTTTTTTGGTAAAGCAGACACAAAAATCTAGGACAGAACAAGTAAGTAGACGAAATCAGGAACCGATATTCTGGTAATTACAAAAGACAATCAGAGAAGATATATTTCTGAATTATAGAAACATATCACCGAAATCTCTAAGACTTTCAATCTTTTAACATTAATAGGAAGTGATATATTTAAAATAAAACCCACCAATGAGTTTCGACTAATGTTGGAGTGTTGATTCTCGTTCGCCTAGCCTAAGACATAAAATATAGGTAATGACTGTTTAAGTCTATTATGCCAAATGCTGGTTGACTGTTTACATACTAATTGTTATGCCATTATTTTCACACTGATCATGACAAGGTATACTTGGGTGTGACTCGTCGGCAAAGGATGCCCACTCCTCCATTCCATATAATTCCACCTCTAATGTTTAAGAGGTCCGTGTCTGCTGTGCTTCTATTTTGCATCATTTAATGGACTTTTGAGCTTGAATTCAAATGCTATTCTTTATCTCCATATATTTCATTCCTGCAAATTGTTAGACCTTTACTTTTATTCTGACTACCATTAATGTATATATGTAGCATTTAATATTAAGGGGAAGTGTGGAAATTTTTTTCTATCCCTTTTCATTCATACATTATATCCACAAATTATCGTCTAGAAAATAACTGATATTACAAGCCAATCAAGGATCCACGCCCGCCGAGTGGTCCTTGTCATGGTAGGGAAATAACGGAAAATCCGAATTCAGTGTATAAATTCTGTACTAAAATTTTTGAAAATTTCTATGAGATATATGAATTAAAATTTATTATCCTATGGCGCTAACATTTTTCTGTGACAAAATTTCTTTTATATAACTTTAAATGGGACCGCTGATACTCTTGTTTCATCAACTGGTTTGTCAATAATTTACCCCGTTTTTTGTTCATATGTACATCTCTTTTTATCTGCAAAGGAGATATATACCTTTTATAATATAATCCAGGTACAATTATTTACTGCATAAGTAAAGGAATTAAACCTTTAAAACAGTTAAATCACCTTTATCATAGCTTTTGTTAGATTTCCATTAATGTATTTTTCAAGAAAATATCCAAGTATGAAACAGATGTCTGAGATCATCTTTTATGTGTTTCAGGATATATCGTATCGACATGTTATAAACCAGTTAATTACTAATTGACAGTCATGTTTCCAGTAAATGCAGTAAAAAGCATTGAAGGCCACAGCAATTTTTCTTTATAAATAAGATTTTGCACAAATTTTGCTTGATATGAATACAAGAATATGTCTGTTAATGATGGAACATTTCATCACTTTCTGATTACAATAAAATTATGTTGATACACGTACGATATTTGACTCGCGGTGTGAACGACATTATGTAAGCATGTATCAAGCCACAAAATATACTCTTTCCTAGTGGCATATAACAAAATAGTTGTTTTATTTACGCCTCTCGCTTGTGACATTAACAACAAATTTTTGTTTCCATGTGAAATCAACAAATTACATCAGCAGTATTTCGTACACTGCGATTGGGTACTGAAAGGTCATATGAAAGGTCAATTTCCGACTATCCTTTACTCGCAGTTTTTTTAAATGACTTTTCATTTTATACAATCACGTAGAATGGAGAGATTCATACATGAAACCAACTGCTTTAGATAGTTAAAATTTCTTGAATGAATGTATTTGTTTTTATTAAATAAATGTGAAAATAATTTTATTTTTTTCATACATTATGTCTAGAAAATAACTGATTGTACAAGCCAACCAAGGGTCCAGGCCAGTCAGTATTTGTTCACGGTTTAGCACTAAAAATACAAAAATCTATACACTATTTTGAAAATCTTTTTTAGATATACCGGTATGAATTAAAATCTATTTTCCTATCGCGCTAAAATTTTACTGTTTTTTTTACTTTTTTAAATTTAGGCGAGAACCTTGATGGTTTTTCTCATGTGAACTCATATTTTTTCTGCAAAGAAGTATGATATACTTTTATATAATTGCAAACATTATTTTTACCCTCGCATAGAACATTTAACCTCTAAAACAAGGAAATGTTTGACAGCTTTCCCTTATTTCTAATTTTCTCAGAGAAATACATGACTTTTTATCGATAGAGATCATCATTTATGTGTTTTGATCATATTTCCGTATTATAAACCAGTTAATTACTATATTTAGTCCTGTTTCCAGTAACAGTAAAAAACGGTGCAATAATTGTTCATTTTTAAATAATTCAGAGTGATATATATCTTAATTCCTGTTAAAAAGTTTATTTCCTTGACGGAAAGACGATTTTTTTACGTTCAAACTGCAAACTTATGTTAGTGTATCAACCTACTAAATATATACTAGACATAAAACTGAATAGTTGTTTTATCACTGAATAGTACACATCAAACTTGTTAATGTGTTCTACTTCACGAAGTATTTAATCGTCTTCACAGAAACTAGGATTCATCTAAAATGTAAGTATGACACTTGCGTTTTTATGACTTTGCATTTTTATTTCATAGATGATTCATACATGAAACCAACTGCATTATATGTTAAAATTTGAATGTATAAGATTTTCTATGAAATACATGTAAAAATTCATTTTTTTTCCAAAGGTCTTCAAACATATGTTGCGAAAATATTGCGAAGGGAAATGAAAAGTGTGAAGGTAAACAAAAAATGATACTTTGAAATCACTTATTTCTATGTGGGGATTTAATTTTCGTTGTTTTCGAGGTGGAAAGGTATAGAAAGACCCATTAATTTACGAGCACAACAATATGTAAAATTTCATATGCAATACTCTAAATTTTCAACCATGAAATCAAATCCCACAAACCAATATTTTCACCAAACCTGGAAGATTTGACCTCACAAAATATGTGTGTTCGCAGTATATGGTTAAAACATACATTTTGATTTACAAAATTGCAAAATTTTAAAATAAATCACACCAAATTATTTTTCTTTACAGAATGTCCATCTGGAAGTACGTGCTGCAAAGACTGTCCGGAAATTCACAGAGGGCAAATTCCTTGTAAAAGATGCAACTGCTCAAATGGAGAAATATGTGATAAAAAGATTGGATGCGTTCCTGACCCACAAATCATCTACTTAAAATCAAGTTTGTGTTTCATTATTTTCCAAGTAATCAAAATAGAGTTTATACTGTATTATGGATCAATTGACTCTTTTTGATGTTTTTCTTTTTTTCAGAATTATGTTTGGTGGAAAAACGGTAAGTCGAAAAAAAACCCAAACTTTTAACAAAATAGTTTTGTAAAACGGTTTCAATAAACACTTTCCCTGCAGTATAATGACCTTTAGAAACATTTTACTGTAAAACAATATCTAAGAAACTTGTATTGATAGACATGGACAAGGTTCATGACTTTCAGTAAGTATTTTTCAAGATGTCTTGGGTAATGATGCTTCAAACATGTTAAATTCTGGTACATTTTATCCATCAATCTACCGTTCCTTTAAAACTTTGTCAATCATGTACTTTGCCGTAAACACAATTGTTACAAAATATTGGCATGAATTTATTTTTAATTTTAGTTCGATCTATTAAATACCAGGTAGCGCCTCCGTAACAAGATCTCGAAACTGTTCTTAGCATTTTTCTGATCTTTGCTCTTCCCAACAAAGATAAGGTAAACAACGATCTGCTGACTGTATCTCCTTTGAATACAATGTTCAACAAAGCCATCGCCTTGCAGGAGTGGCGCAGTGGTTAGAGCGTCTGCTCTAGAGTCGCAAAGTAAGGAACTGATCCTTATGTGACGGGTTCGAATCCCAGTGTGAGACGTGGAGACCGATCCTTCTGATGAGATCGTATAAACCGAGGTACCGTGTCGCTGTAGGTACAGACACAAAAAAGATCCCTCACTGTTCAATGACCCTAAGTGCCGAGTATATGTCAAATTTTGTAGCTCTCCACCGTCAAGTGGCGTCGTCTCCATATGAGTGAAAACTCTCGAGAGGGACGTTAAACAACACACAGTCAAACAATCAAAACAATCGTTGCTTTTTTTCTTACTGTAGATATGATAATATCCATTGAAGGACTCATATGCTTTTCTTTATCTTTGTAACAAAAGATTTTTTTCACTATGTAGAGAATTCACTCCCTATCACAGTTTTTGAAATGAAAATCCCAATGGCGTGTATTAAACAGTTTTCTCCGGATAAACGTGACTTGCCAGTGTCCGTAAACTATGAGGAGAAGAAAAAGAGAAAATGAACACTGAGAAAACCTTCGAAAAAATCTTTTGTTCACGGACTAAGGAATTAAACAAGGAATCCGAGAATTCAAGAAATAGAATCCGGTGCCTAGGGGAGTTCTTCGTTTTAATTTATAATTGCACGATCTTTTTTTCATATTAACTTATTTATTTTAGATCAAGAAGTTGCTGTCCAAATTATCGAAAAGTTGGAAAGGAATGTGAAGGTTTGTTTTGATAGACTTCTTTTGATTTATTTGCCTATATATTTCATTCACAAGAAAGTTCATGTTACATATTCCACCAGATTGTCACATTCATATTTCACAGAGTTCCTGATTAAAGCTAAAGTACATTTTTCTTTATTTCAATCAGAGTGTTGGCCTGGGACATATGGAGAAAAGTGTCTTGACTGTCCTTCTAAATACTATGGACGTTTTTGTCTGAAGAAGTGTGATTGCTCAGGAAATTGCTCCCCGACTCACGGATGCAATCTTTCTATGAAAGGTAACAATTTTAAAGGGAGCTGAATTTGCGTGTTCATAGCACCTGATCCCATCTTTGGAGATGTGTGTTTGCTCTGCTCCTGTTTTGTATTGTTTTATGGACATTTGATCTTGAACACTGTTTGCTATCTCCATACGTTTCATTTTCTAAAATGGAGATCATCCGAAAAATATCAATTTTCTCCTTAAGTGCATTTCGATTGTTTTAAAATACTTTTGAAAGAACGTCAAATGAATTCAGTATGTCCTGCATCTTATCAAGAAAAAAAACCATGTTACTTAGAAAAGATAAGCATAGAAAGTTAAGCATTATTTTAACCTCTCCCATAACACGATATAGGCATTGTAAATATATTGAATATATTAACATAATGTTAACTTTTTTGTGTATTTACAGCTTGTTTTTGAGTACTAATAACAAAGAGAATTGTTTTGTAAACAGAAATATATCTTGAAGATTCGTCCGGGTGGAAGACGGGACTAGCCATTTCTGGTGTCTTTGCAATTCTTATAGTATTCGGCATTGCTGGTGCATATGTTTACAGAAGAAGGTGAGCAATGAACGCAATTAATGAACATTATTTCTTGTTTAGTTTTAGTCTCCTATGTACATTTCAAAAACGGTATAAAATATAAGTAAAGATATAAACATTAATAAATACATATGTAAAAGAAATGACCTAACATACCATTGTTAAATTTATATTTTTAAGTAGGATATGACTGCTTATGAAAGGCAAAAAAATATGAAAGATGTTGCAAGTTTTTTTTTTTTTATGATTTGACTTTCCGCTTACTCTTAAGTAGGTTCGTACGTACGTAGTTACCCCTATCTTAAACTTATATCAAAATATGCATTTAATTTAGAATAAATACATTTTGTATTTCTATAGCTGTTATGGATAATCAAGAAGCGCTGTAATGCCTTCTTGTTGCTGAATGTTGATTATTTTATTGCAATGAATCCAAAAATTAGATTAATTAACATTAAATACTATAACCAAATGCAGAGTTATACACAATTAATCTTTGACTCCTCTCTCAATAAATACTTCTAGGAGAGGAGGATTTTGGAGAAAGGGAACTGAAAAGGCTGTTTCAATTGATGGACTAGCAGAACAAAATGAAGAAAATGATTTGCGTGGCCTTCAATCTACCAGGTATAATAATCCGGGAAATAATACAGTTTCCAAGGATTCCGAACCATCGATACAAAAATTGAAGAAAGATGAATCAGAATCAATTACTCAGGGGAGCGATGTTAAACAAAATAATGATATCGTACCCGTGCACCCAAAAGAAATTAATGTCGAAATTACAAGTGACTTTACACTTGAGAGGAATACGTATGTAGAACCTAAAAATATGATGTGTGATGAAGCAAACAATATGGCTTTCGAGGAAAGACAACTCCGTGAGTCCTACGTAATTTTACATCCTTTGGAAAACCTCGATACATGTAACAACGAATTAGGACCTTATTCAAATGGCTTTACAAATGTCGATGACTCAAATACTTATTTAACCTAAACAAAACAAGTATTTTACGAACATTGCTTTTAGCAATGTTCCTTAACTTCAAATAAAATTTCATTTATCTCAAAAATTCAAGATGTCGGAGAGCCGTCAGAAATCGATATTGAACAATTAGAAACGTCCTCTCTGACTAATCGAGGTAAACTCACATTCCCCAAAAATCATCTCTATGCATGTATCATAATCGATAAATTCGTATTTCTGACAAAAATCATTGTCAGAATGACTGATTCTGAATCTCCAAGAGCACTCATTTACGAAACATTAGATAAAATATCTCTAAGCATTGAGAAAAGTGGCAAAAAGTGGGGATATATTGACATACAGAAGTACACACAGAAGTTATCACCTAAACAAAAAAAAACATACTAGTAATCATCTTGATTTCCCTGGTAGAGAGACAATCATATTTTTAAGATCGAAATTTCCACTTAGTTGTCAATGATGACTTTTTAGATTTATTTTTAAAGAAACATTTGATATTATATGTTTGAAAATGCCTCATAATATGTCTCATAATTGGTGTTGTGCCTTTCTCATTGCACTCCAATACACTGTAGACGTTGTAATTGTCCTCTGAGTAAAGGCAAACTTTTTTCACTGAAAGATGTTATTAATAATTGTCGCAAAATGAATAATATAATGCATAGTGCTTTGTATAATGTAATATGTAATTAATATGCTTTTATGATAGGGATGGCCATTAATGGCAGACGTAATAAGGCTTTAACCAAACAATTTTTTTTCTATATTATTACACAGGACCAAAAGTACGAAAGCTAATGCAGATGTATAATAAATAATTTAATAATGCCTTTTTAGCTTTTAGCTCACCCGAGCCGAATGCTCAATTGAGCTTTTCTGTTCAAAATTTGTCCGTTGTCTGTCGTCGTCGTTGTCGTCGTCTTTGTCGACGTAAACTTTTCGCATTTTCATCTTCTTTTCAAGAACCACTGGGCCAATTTCAACCAAACTTGCCACAAAGTATCCTTAGGTAAAGGGAATTCAAGTTTGTGAAAATGAAAGGCCACGCCTGCTTCCAAGAGGAGATGATTATAAATTAGTGGAAAAATTAATGGCATTTTTAAAAAATCTTCTTCTCAAAAACCACTGGGCCAAGAGAAATGAAACTCATGTGGAAACATCAGCAGGTAATCAAGGCTAGGGTGGGGCCAAAATGGCCGACCAAAGTTTTACATAGGAATACATTTTAGGAAAAATCTTTAAAATTCTTCTTCTCAAGAACCACTGGGCCAGGAAAGATGAAACTCATGTGGAGTCATCCTCAGGTAGTGTAGATTCAAGTTTATTCAAATCATGACCCCCGGGGGTAGGATGGGGCCAAAATGGCCGACCAAAGTTTTATATACATGTAGGAATATATTGGGAAACCTTTTAAAATCTTCTTTTCAAGTACTTCAAAGCCAGGATTAATGATATTTATATGGAATCATCCTGAGGTAGTGTAGATTCTAGTTTGTTCAAATCATGACCCCTGTGGAGGTTAAAATTCAAGCCTCCCGCCCCCACCTCAGTAACTTTCAGTTCTGATCTGATGTGTGCTTTGTCCTAGCCGATGTTCTCAGGTGAGCGCTGTGGCCCCTGTGCCTCTTGTTGAATAAAATAATTTCGTTTTTACCCATGATCAGTTTATGTGTTTCTTTTCTGCCTCTGTTTATTATTTATATGTAAAGTCATTTAAAAATGGGTTTGCCTTGTAATAGTTTAATGAAGAACTTGCAGTCAGGGAATAATCTCAATACAGCTTTTCTTCCCATTTGTTTAAACCATAAATACTATAAATGCCACAAGGAAACTAACATCTTGAGTGACATGTAGTGAAATCGAATACTATTACACGAGATCCGTTTCCTGTTTTATAATTTCATTTCCTTTTTTGTCTGATACTGGAGTACGAATGTACTGACATAAATCGCATATGCTTCAACGAATCATATGATATTGGGAGTCAACTTGAAATACATGTATATTGTACCTTGTGAAAGATTACAGGGTTTGAATTCCTTTTCTAGTCTGGTTGACCCCCTGTTTTCCTATGCACATCATGTTACAATGTCATTTAGGTAGTGAAGTCAGATCGTGTAATAAATTTGCCTAAGATGGATAATGATCTATATTTGAGTCCCCTTTCTCTGACGCCCATTTTGTTAACTGTGTTCTTACTTTTTCCGTCATTTACTCTAATAAATGACATGTGTCATTTCTACATATTTGATTTTGCCTGCTTTTAACTGGCAGGACCAAGGAAACTTAGAAACAAATAATATTATATTTCTTGTATAATAAATATAAAAAAGATTTAAGAAGTTATGTCTATTTTTTCATTGACGTTATACAGACATCATAATTGGAGATGCCATCAACAAAAGTTATAAAATAGGACAATTTTTCCTCATACAAGACAATTTTGCATTTTGAGCTATCCAAATAAAATATATGAAGAAATCAAAAGTCAGTAATGCTCAAAATGTTATCTATTTATTCTCAAATTTTTATCCAAAAAAAGTTAATCACAACAGAGAGAACATGTACAATTGAAACATCAGATGTTGGATCAGGTGCTATGAAGGAGTGAACATCCACATCCACACCCCATCTAACTTCCTTGGCATGATCGGAAAATAACGGATTCATCTGTCGACAATGCAGTGTGCAAAGAATGACCTAACTACGAGTTTGGAAAACATCAGTCAGAATATTCTTTTTCTGCGCTCATGCCCTTTCTTGATGTTTGTTTATTTTCCAGTAATGAACAAAATGTGTGTCTTGAATGAAAGAGAAGACTTCTAGCAGTAAAAATTATTTTTTCATTAAAAATCATTTCATTTGCTTTCGTATATTTAATGTCGTGTATTCAGTATTGGCAAAGCATGCAAAATAATGTTTTTATTATTTCTAAATTAAAGAAAATCTGGTTGAAATTACTATAAAATAGATGTACAAATGTACATGTAAATGGTTTTCGTAACTATTAATCACTAGGTTCATCCTATAGTTTAATTATGAAATATCAATTTTTAGCAAATTATATATGATATCCCTTAAAAAGATTGAAATGTGATTCAGTAATCTATTTTCGTATATAAACATTCCAGAAAAAATGGAAATAAAGATTCCATTATAGAATCATAGAAAATCTAATAGAAAATTTTAAATCTGTAACATACGTGATAACATAGCCCTAGTATATAAAAATAATTATATAGTTTTGAGTTTTTTAAAAATAAAAATATGAATGAAACATATGGAGATAATGAACAATACTAAAGATCAAAAGTCCATAAAATAATACAAAATAGGAGCAGAGCAAACACGGACCTCCAAAACATCAAAGGTGTGATCAGGTGCCATGGAGGAGTGAACATCCTCTTCCGACCGGTCACACACCTGTAATTTAGAATAACATAGAAATATAATTCATGAAAAATAAGCGGTATGCTAAAAGAAAAAAATCATCTGTTCAGGATATTTAAGAGGAACACGACAGTTAAAATTGAATGGAAGCCTTCGCATGTAAGACTATGTGCTCGCTTGAAATCTATAACTTACTGTAAATTGAATTCAATTTGAGATTCAAAAGATTGAAAATTTATATGGTACTTCTAAGCATCTACACTAAATTAATTGTACGCTCCTTGGTAAGCGATACACCATAACCACTTATGCTAGTTTGTGTTAGGCATTTCAACATACATGATCCATGATCGAAATAAATTTAACATTATGGATAGTTCCTTATATTGAATTGGAAATAAGGAAGATGTGTACAATTTCTTTTTTGCATGCAAAAACCATTCTTATGCAAAGATTACTTTTGTTAATCGTTTGTTCATTTTGAACTGGTTGGCAGGGGATGCTTACTCCACCATGGCACCTGATCACACCTTTGATGTTTTGGAGGTTCGTGTTTGCTCTGATCCTATTTTGAATTATTCGTTACTGTAACGAATACTGTTGGTTACACATATATCTCCATATACTTCATTTCTATTGATATAAATTTGTTTTTTTTACAGATAAATAATAGTATTTTTGTTGAATGTTCATAAAGTTTTTAAGGAAACATGTAGATTCTCTATTTGAAATGTTAATTAATTGTTTTCTTTTATCAGTTGTATCATTTTTCTTTAATTTGCCAAACATACATGTATTGTAATACCGGTATTTCTGGAGAGGAACCTAGTAAGTTGTGTAGAACTTATTTCCAATCATTTTGATTTTCTCAATAAAATATATTAAAAATACTTAAATACCGGATTCGAACTATATTAACTGCACTATAAACAATAAATCAAAGCAATAATTTATATATTCCCATAAATATGAGATAATAAATTAAATCAAAGAAACTTTACTCATCGAAATATTCGTTAAATATTTAGAATTTAAAAACATTTCCCATTTTATTTTTCATATGTAAAAATTCTTTCATTTATCCACTAAATAAACGTTTATTTTTGTTTGAACAATTTACTTGTAAACGGTTTAAATGCATGAACATTTATATTATTTTTGACATTCCCATTAATTATAAGAGAAATAATATGTGTTTATATGATATTTTATCCCTGACCTAAGTTGATAATATATCTGACTGGTCATAAGGTTTTGCCATTGTTATTCAAATCTCTTTAATTTTGCAGTTTGAAACCAATATCTTTAATGAGAATTTGTGATTCGATCACCTAGACTTAAAAATTTTATTCTATACTTAAATTAGTATTTTATAATTGTGTCTTATGTGTGTGTCATATAATTATGAGGTAATTTTAACTGATAATAATGATAAAGTAAAAAGCGGGGAAACCAACTAAACATCACACCAATTGTTTTTGTATCAAAGAATCCAGTCGTGTGTTTTCATAGAATTTTTCTTAAAATTCATAATACATTATGGCATTTTTTCATATTTGTTGTCTTCACTTTTTTATATTGTCTATGATTTTAACAATGAAAATCATCTTGACATCATTACGTGCATTATTATTGAAGATCGATTTTTCGATATGGTAAAAAGGAATTTATTGAATAATGTTGGATAAGATTATATTTTGTAAGGCGAAAAATAAATATAATTATAAAATGAATATTGATATTAACAAGATGTGTTTGTGAAACACTGATGCCCCCGTATTGTAACATTGTGAAGATAAAACTTTTCTTAGATGCAAAGTTAATATATTGGTACCCAAAGCAGGGTCTCCTAACTGGAAATAGAATTGTAAAACATGAAAGCCTTATCACCATCTATACCCCAGTTATGGCCAGGCTAAAGTTTTTTTCATAAGTACAAAAATCTTTAAGATCAAGGTCAGG